AAAGTTATACTAATTTGATCATATACCAATACAACTGACGTCAAATTTCATAAGGATAGTAATCAAAGTGCATGTTTATTCAGTTAAAATGAAATAAATTCTGACAGTTGATCAACTGAAATTATTTTTTTTAATAAGTCTAAGGATGTTAATTACATTTTCCTTAGATGAAGTCTACATTAGTTGCAGATTAAGTCTAGATTCATTCGTCCATTGGTTACTATATTGTCTGCATACCAGGCTGATAGATATTATTATTATTATTATTAGTCCCTTGTGTTCATAGTGGAACATAGGGCTTCAGTAGCACGTCTCCAGTGACCTCTGTTCTCTGAGATCTTTTTGAACCTGGTTCCACGACAGCCCAGAAGCTCTTATTTCCTCCTCGCACGACCTCCTCCATGTCACCCTCGGACGTCCAACTCGTCGCTTCCCATGGGGATTCCACTCGAGCTACTGGCCTGACGCGTGATGTCCCCAGGCTGATAGATATACTCATGATGATTTAAGTTTGTATTCAGTTTCTTAAAACATATTTTCTGTATCATTCCTCGATAATGGATCCCTTGTTTTGCAAGGAATACCATGTACTGATTTCATTACATTACACCCTACTATAATTCTGTAGGGATGAAGTAATCACTTGATAGTCTAGAAGATTTCCTTATAATATGGCAAAGTAAAGCGTTAACTAAACCAAAATGACCTTACTGTTTTTTGTTACGTTGAAAAACACTTTGTAATAAAGTTCTGTGGTTATTTGTAGGTTCTTGATACTTTTTGAAGATGTCAGTCACAAATTTTCGTGATTTTTATATATTAATATCTCCTAACTTTTGGAGTATAGTTTTTTTTCAAGCAACAGTCTTTAAGGACTGTAGAACTATCGCTACTGTTGCTGAAAATATAACCAGTTTCTATGGCTTTTCTTTGGACATTAGTCTGCATAGTTTTGTCGTATCTTCGGCTAGATTACATTGTAGGGATGCGTGTTACAATTCCGTAACGTTTGATCAACCCTACTTAATTTGATGTGCTCTAGTACCTGCTTAACCAATACTTTACCTAACGTGTAAGTACTGATAACAAAACACAAATCAAAAGAATTGATACGTAATGTATTTAAAGGAACTATGTATTTAAGGTAAATGTAATAATAATGAATGAGGGAAAAGTTTAATCAACTTATCTGGCTTGTAAGGCTGAACTAGGGACTCGGAGTACGTGTGTGGTGATCAGCACAATGGAGCGCAAAAATGGCGTCCAAGCCTGCTCGGATGCATGCTCGTTAAAACAAAACTTAATACACCCTAAGCATCCAGAGGCAAGCTAGAGATTTATTTAGTTAATTTAATTTAAACTATTTATTTTAGCCTTAGTTATATTTTGGTGCCAGGAAGGTGCACTACAACATGACCATGCTATTATCATATAAATATAGACTGTACTCATCATGGTAAGCAACCTATATGTTAATTTATTAACAATAAGTGAAAATCAAAGATCCTAATTCAAGTTAAGTGAACACCTATTTTCTTTCTGACATAACCTTCCTTTTATTGAAATGTGTATCTCTTGCAATCTGAAAACTTCTTAGTTAGAATAGACTAGTAAACAGGAATCGGTTACCAAATGCAGCTATTGTTGTAAACAGAACATTCCAAGGATAATCGAGTGGTTTTTGACAATAAGTGGTCTTGATTTGAATTTCCGAGAAGATAAAAATTCCGTCTATGTAGGAGGCACATGTCAGAGATGATTATCAACGATCACAACTCCTTGATCTAGGATTTCATGTCCAATTTCTAAAAAAGAGTATTGATAAGGACACAAGTTTATCAAACCATCAAATTCTTATATTCTATCAGGTGCATTTTCTGGATTCTACTGTTTAGTCAACATTTTTTGCCATCACAATCAACACATTCATGCACCAACTTCATATGTGGACCGAGAAACAAAAAGATCAACAAAGTAATGGAGTAGAAGTAAAAACGTTCCACGTTTTAAAGTAATTGTTAGGTTCTCCTGAAGGGACCAATCACAAGCAGGTGTGCTGCTGGCCATTTTTCGGTGTGCGGTGACCCTAACAATTTTAATACTTTGCATTGCAATCTAAGATTTGCTCGATTTTCAAGGTTCAAGAGTAAGAAATGAAAGTCTTCCAACTAGCCTGAATTAAGGTCAGAAACACTCGGCTCGATAAACGAATCAAAGTTTAGGAACTAAAATGGGGCACCAAGGTAAGGATGATCGGCTATGTTAGAGTCGTTAAACAATCTATACTAATTTGGTGATATTACAGTTTCCTCACTGTCTTCTGCAACTTATTTAAGAGACCTGCTTGAATAGCCTCTTTAACAAAACTGACCTTTCGTATGCTTGTCCTTGGTCGATTCTTGATTGCGCCTGCAAGAAGGATCAAGGGCACATGCTGATCGATGCGTTCGTGTAAAATGAAAACCCCAAACGTTGGGATCTGATAACAGCTAATATCCGTTAAATAAAAGGTTACTATCGTAGCTTAGTTGCCTGATGCATAACTCTTCGGTGTTTTGTTTGTGTTCAACAAGGAGTGCACGTAAGTAAATCTAGCTAATAAATTCCGAATAAAGTGGAACTGAAATCAAAGAAATTCATTATTATCTATCCTAACATACAACTATATTATTTAAGGGATTGGCCACCTGTTTTCTAAGTGCACCGAACAATTTCAAAGTTGAAACAAAAGCCTCGATGTTGCAAGATTCGAACCAGTGATTTAAGTCATTCCTATTAATCACTTTTACTAGGTTCTCCGAAATTTAGTCACTTATATTGATCATATTATCATTCTGCTTATGTTTTCATGTAGTTCAATTTTTAAACACCATAAATGACACTGAATTCAGTTTTTGGCTAAGCCTACACTTCCTTACGGAGCAGTTTTAATTTCTTTTGATCCAACCTTCTGTCACTGAATCTTTAATGGTTCTAAATTACCATTTACTGGAGTTACAGATAGTGACTGCATTAGAAGAGTAGTCGTTTGGATTCTGCATACCTTACAGTACATAGCCGTTAACTATGAATTTAAATTTGATGTCATTTAGTTACTCTTCGGGCCTATATGTTAACTGAATATTATAACTTTGATGTTATAAAGCTTAGAATATTATCATTATTATTTGTCCCTTGGGTTCCTAGTAGAACATAGTTCAGTAACACGTCTCCATTGCACTCTGTTCTCTTCAATCTTTTGAACCTGGCTCCACCGCTGCCCACAAGCTCTCATTTCTTCCTCACACCATCTCCTCCATGTCACCCTCACCTCGGACGCACAACTCGTCGTTTCCCATTTGGATTCCAGTTGAGGGCCTGGTCTGGCCTGTCGTGTGATGTTCCCAATCAGTCTTCTTAGTGAATGTCAAATCCAATCCATCTCAACTTTCTTCTGTAGTTTGTTGGAGGGAGGTAAAATTGAAAGCCGTGAATAAAAAGTTTGAATGTCAACTCAATATCACTTTTGTCTAGAATTATCATCATTTTGTAAGCGATTCTGTCAATTAGTGAAAATTTCTGTTAAAAGCTATCTAATGGCTTGTTGATTACTCCATTCTCTGAAGCTTGACTACTGAGCTATTCGGATAAAGACTGCATGTCTCACACATTACTCATGAACACCTAGATACGACAGGATGTTGCTGAAATAAAATTCATATCCAATGTCTAATTAGGTTTGAAAACGCAGTCACCGGTAGATTACCAGGCTGGTAACTCAAACACTCTTAATTCAAATCCTAATATATCACAGATATTCTGTCAAATTCATTCATTATCATTATTTTCCTATATTTCTCCGTCCTTCTAAATAAACTCCTAGATAATCTGGTTAATAAATGTGCAACTGTTCAATTTACGTCATACGGTAAACAAAGTACCAATATCTTCCAGTCATATTTGAAAGGTGCCTGTTTCATTTTATTTCATCAAAACTTGGAGTATCATACTGCAGATTAGTTCCTTGGGAAAGTATACCTTATTATTACTACATAGTAAGTAACTATGCCAAGTATAAAGTGTTTTGAATTTGTTTTTTCCCTCTGATATTTATCTGTTTAAGCAAAAGGGTGCAAAAAAGCTTATCACTTAATGAAGTTACTGGAAATTCTTTTCTAATGTTTAGACTATCTATTATTGTGAATCTTGTTTATTTGACATTATTTGCATCAGGATGAAAACGAATATTTTCACACAGTTTTTCTTTAGATTATATATGTATATATATTACACGTTTTATGGATATCTTTTAAAAACTGTCTACAGATATTGTCTAGTTTATATTATAACATTTGGGGTTATTTTGTCTGTTGTGCATAATGCTAAAATAATCTGACTTGTTTATCCTCACATGTATATCATAAACGTTTTGTACACATATCAACCTCATGGTGAAAAGGATAATCATGTATACATAGCTTGTCAGTGTACGATTTGAAGCATTGAAAGGGGATTATTTATTTCCATTGACAAGATGGATTAACCTGTGTGTACGTGTATTGTGAATACAACTCCCTTGAATATACGCAACGTCTTTACGTACACTTATATACACATATATGCTCTCTTTGTCTGATTTTTACCGTTGTGACATACACTTGTCTTCAGCGTTAAAATTACATCTAAAGGAATGATTGGAAGATGACTATACACTGTAAACGAATGAATGAATGAGTGCAAGAATAAATGTCATGCTTACTACATGCATGGGTGTATAAGTGTGCGTATGCGTTCAAAGGTAGGAAGAATGAATCAAGAAAGCACTGTTTGTAAGTAAATTACTTTGTTTTCTTCTCTCTTTTTGGTTACGATAAATATAAATACATTGGATCACAAATAAGCATTTCTAATGAAGTGATTATTACTCTAAGAGATTATGTATATGGATGAAGAATATGCTGAAATATTGGTCACAACGAGAACAGCCTTTCTGAAATTATAAAATTATTTGTTACGGGAACATGGTAAGAAGTGTTTGCCATTATTATTATTATTATTATTATTATTATTATTATTATTATTAGTAGTAGTAGTAGTAGTAGTAGTAGTAGTGGTAGTAGTAGTAGTAGTGCTTCTAATAATGTTTCTCCTTGCAAAATGTTATTTCTTGCAGTCACTTCAGTATATCTAACTTCTAACTCTTTGTATAAGTTATCACTTCCAGCTGCATAACGACATTTTATGATTCAAATTATACAAGTTTTATTGAGATATAGTCAATTATCAGCACTGATACAATCGCATTATTCCTTAGAACTATTTAACCGGATGATAAACCAGTATTCATGTAACAGATATAGTTTGTATTTGTGCAAATCACAGAGTGTTTGAAATAAAATAATTGCAAAATTTTGCTCAAAAGTGTGGTTCGAGCTTCTTCATATAGTTCCAGGGTTTGTGGGGATTTTATCCTTTTTGAGGTAGCATTTACCACGGGCTGACATCATTTGGACAACCAGTGAAAACCTGCTAGAGATGAATAACTGTTCCGTCCTAGCATGACATCCATCAGGAGTAAGCACCAACGACCCCACCAGGGGTTGAATTAGGGATCTTCAGGTCTCACGGTGAACGCATTAACCATTCAGCTGGTGGGTCAGAGTTCAATCGTCTACAGTTTCCTACTTCTATCGATTCGCGATAAGGTGCAACTATCCGACAAGTTCCCCAGTTGGCAGTTGATCAGGTCATGGCTTCTCACTAGAGGTGTCCATCCTGAATCATGTTCCTAATGAGTACTATACAGCAGATCGGCTTGGGGTTTATGGTGATTTATTTATGAAGGTCCCGAGTTCAGTCACAGGTAGGGTTGCTGGTGCCTTCCTGTGAGAAGTCCCATACCAGGACGAAACAGCTGTCCAGTGATCCAAAGTTTTCATTGGTTCTCCAACTAATGTCAGTCCATAATGAATATCACTTTGAAATTTCTCCTTCATGGTCTGGACCTGTTTATAAAAAGGTACAGCTCGTAGTTCGGGTTTGTATAAAAACTGATATCAGTAACAAGAAATCACTTTCTTACTTATTTCCTGTTCTTTCATTCTGATACTTTCTATTTTGTTGTGCTGATGCTAGATATGGTAACTTGAACCTTTAAATAGTAGTACCAGATCCTATGTTGATATCAACTGATTGACTTCAGTTATGCACAAACAGATTACAAGTTAGGGATTAGAAACGGGTGAAAGTTAACTGAATTCAAAATTAACAATTTTACAGGTAAATAGGATTTAGATAATCACAAAGTCTGAAACTTAGCGGCAGAACAAAAGGGATGTCAAGTATGTTAACTTCGGTTCATTTTCATTAACTGAATCATGTTCTATTAACATTCTGAACTAAGGCAACAATATACCACGAATAAAACTTATCCATTATTAGATTTGTTTTTGTGATATAGTATACAGTGATACAGCATAATGAAGGTAGTATTAACTCAGTATCCATTAGTAATTTGCTTTCGAAAAGAATTTCTTGAATTTTTATGGGGACCCAAAGAGTCAAAAGGGTCAGATATAAAGGCGGATACTCGGCAATGATATTCGATGATAGTCATGGTATACTTTCCACTTATCAAAAGTTGGAAACACATGGAGGATTTTCAACTTAATCTGTAGCTGAATAGAAATGTGTCTGACTCACACTAGATGCTCATATAATCTACTTTGAAACGATTCATCGGGATATACTACAATGAAGACTGAGAGTATGATAAAACAACTTTAAGGGGCCGACCTGTTTCACTGTGGTTCTGTAACCAATATCAATCGGTGATAAAAATTGCGCTATGCTCCAAAAAGCATTCAGCAGGTTGAAAATACCAATGAATACCGTGTTTAATTAGTGAATGATAAACTTTGTGTAAATAATTAACATTTTAATTCATACTCTTGTGATGTAGGATGTAAGGTCTGTGCCAATTTTTTTTACTGAAATAACCACGAGTGTAAATATATTCAACTAATAAGGTTTAGGGAAAATGAAACTTGGCATACCACTGAAGTACTTTTTTATTTAATATAACTTTTCTGGAAATGTGTCAGAGGCACATAAGAATCTTGCAATCAGGAAGTTTTAATTATTGTACTCTCTATTTTTCACACCAGTTTTAACTTTGAAGATGATTTTACACCGTAAACTAACAAATTAGCTCCAGAAATAGTGTAAACTAGAAGACTTCGATACATTTTTCCATTTTAATTCAAAAAATTTCCTAGTATTGCATATATAGTGGAAAATAGTAGTAATGATCTGTAGGCGTTATAATGAAATAAATGCTGATGAAGTCACCTATCCAGATAATGAAATTTCTAAGAATAAAAGCCAAAATTTCGGTGAACGAAAAGGAATTATAATCCATGATCTGTAGTTACTTTCAATAATTTGTGACCATCTAATAACATAGTAGAATACTAATGTTTGATACCTTTATTGGATTTAGTTAGTTTTGATATCTTATAAACTGTAGAATACAATCTGCATATCATCAATGATATCCATGTTGGCAGTTTATCAGTTCATTTATACACTTATGGTAAAAGTAGAAGAATAATTAAGAAAACAGTTTATCCTTTTTATATTTTCCTTTGGAATAATATTATTTCAGACCAGTTCACTGATGGAAAGAAATTGTAGCGTTCAACTTTAACTCTGTTCGTTACATTTCTTTATAATAGATAGAACAGCATACTTCAAGTTGTTATTCATCGTAGACTAACATCAGTTAGAAGAACAAAGGAAACCTGGGAGCACTGGACAGCTGTTTCGTCCTAGTATGGGACTCCTCAGCAGTGCGCACCTACAACCCCACCAGGGATCGAACCCGCGACCTTCAGGTTCCGCATACAGGTCCAGTATACATTTTGAAATACCTGTCAATACTTTATTTTCACCTGAATCTAATTAACTAAGGTTACAAAGTTTTGGCAATAATTTCTTAAAATGTTTTGTTAAGTAGTTTAGGTTATCTTCAAAGATAGACTTGATAACGTAAGAAAAAGAATACTATGTGCTGCATTTTTCGTATATTATGCAAACTGATAGCAGAAAGATATTTTATTCAAGGAATATTAATGATAAAAAAGTGAGTTAAGCTTCTCATTTTGAGGCTGATTGTTGTTGATTAACTAAACTGAATTTACCAGGCCCTGTTAGTATAAATGATCTTAATACTTACACATTTGTTTTGTTATTGGTTGAATTTCAGTTATTTATTTGGTAATGTTCAGCAGTAGCATCCACGGCATGCAATTAGTTCTACGTGAAACTTGTTGACTAGTTGTATTCATAATTCAGTGACTGTTTGTGTTTACAACAGGACTCGAACCCAGCACTGGACACTTTCATGGTCAGAGTAAAATAGAAATATTGGTAGAATTTTCACAGTTCAGGCTTCTTATAAAGTACTGTGAATTCATATCCTATATGTTTCATAAAGGCTTTTTACTTTTCATCTCTTATGACAAGATATGAATGAAGTTTGAACAGTAAGATTTATTGAATGAAATGAATTCACTGCATTTCGTAATTCTACACAATCAAGAAATTGCGATGGATTATTACCAGTAATGTATAAATGAAGCTTTAGTTGTACTCTGCCGGATTTTCAAGCATGATGATTATAGCAAACGGTTTAGTCTATGAAATACAACAAATTATGTCATTAACCGTCAAATTCGAAACTTATGACTCTGCATCTGAGAAGATAAAAATCACTTGCGGAAATATGGAAATTACAATATGTAGGGAAAGATAATCACTTATTAATTGAAAATTATGTAAGCATTTTAGATAACTGTAGAGTTTTGAGAAGGAAATAAGTTATTTGAAATGGGCCAGACAATTTTATGCATATTCCGACAGTTGGCACTAAACTGATAACTAGTGATACCGCCTGACTGCGAGAACCTCGGTAGGAAGAGCTAGGTTTTAACTCGCGATCAATGAGTTAGAAGTCGTCTCGCTAAACCGAGAAGCCACAGGGATTTTAAGACTACTCTGGTTAAGTAAATTTGCCGTAGACCATGCTGAGCCATGGTTTACAAAGTGACTGTATTCCTGCTTTTATGAAAGTTAACAGTATAATGTCTACAAAGGAAGGCGCTCCACTTAGATGCTTACTGAAGCCAGTATGTCTGGGACAAGGTGCAATACTTTCCTCATTCCCGATTTCTTTCTTTATCCATGATTTACCTTATTCTTTCAAAAATGGAAATAGTCCCCTTAGATAATGAAAATTAATAAAAGAAGACTCAGTGAGGAAAATTCTATTTTCTGCTAAGCATTTGAAAGAGCTGTGATCATGGTTATGACCAAATATGTATACATTCATCAATGGCAAATGGATCAATACAAGGTTATCGAAAATGGTGAATAAGGTCACAAGGTGATAACGGCTAAAAGGTCAAGTCAAGGTCATCAAAAATGGCTGATGGGATTATAGTAAATAAACAAACAAACTATCTTAGTGAGATTACAATCAAAGGAAAATTGAAGATTGAGTGTATCTTTTTGAACACAAACAGCAGGCCTGTAATGCTGGATTGCCACAGCTTCTACTGCGCTGAGGTGGTGAATTCACATTCGCTTCGAAATATTTGCCTTCACTTTATAAATCACCTCGGAAGTAGACTGTCGTGGAGCACAGAGACTAGATGTAACCGAATGCTCAAGAATCAAGCTACTGATTACACTTCACTGTCCTTTAGACAGCCATTCTGGACAGTGTACGTAGAGGCGTTTGTATTAATGACCCTGACTTGATCTTTTAACCGTTATCACCTTGTAACTTTATTCACTGTTTTTGATGACCTCGTATTGACCCATTTGAGATTGATGGATATATATATTTCGTTGTAACTATAATCATGATGTACAGCTTTTGAAAATGCTTGATAGAAAATAAAATTTTCTCCGCTGAATTGTCTTTTATTAGTTTTCACTACCTTGTTCTGTTGAAGCTAATTTTATTAAGTGTCCTGATGACCGGAGGTTTTTATGCCAGTTAACTCTCATTTAGATTTCTCTGAATTTTAATTAAATTAATTAGATCTGATTAAATAGTTTTTTGTCCATAATTGACAAGTAGTCTCTGTCAGATGGTCTCAGGCCAAATCCTTCTGAATGTCAGACTGTTAATTTTAGCCTCAGGAGTAAAGAAGATTTGTGTGAGTTTCTTAGGTTTCATAACTGCTGTTGGATTGATTGTATTGCTGTAGAAAGCAAATCCAGTGCTACCTATCTTGGATTGAAATTCACTTTTAATCATTGTTGGTCATCTCATATCTTGTTGACTTCCAAGAAAACCTTTCTTTTAATGTATTACATACAAAATCTGAGACGGTCTAATATAACTCAATCTTTGCTTTTACAATTTATTAATTCCTTCGTTTTACCTATTCTTCTCTATTGTTCTCCGTTGATAATTTCTGGTCTAATAAAGAAGGACTAAATTATATTGCGTTGGGCTTTGAAAGCCATCAGTAGGGTAGGCTCTGTGCCTCTGGTTCAACTGATTAAGACTATAGTTGACTGATATCTAAATTCCAGTTGGGAATCAGCTACAGCAATTTCAACTGACATTGAACATCCACTTTATTCACAATCCTCTACCTGTACCTCCTCAGGGATGATAAGAAGAAAGTGCATAAGACACTATACGCTTTTACAGCTAAATACAACAATTCAACTGCGTTTTGCCTAGCACGCATATTATGTGGGGAAAAAGGGTGTTAAGATAGAATTCGTTTATCAACCTTGCAACAATAAATAATCTTTTTCCAATATTTTGATTAAAAACGTAAAAATTTCCTCGTAATTATTACTCTTAATACAACTTGAATTGTTGTATTAACACTATTCAAAATGTTGTAAAGGAGTATATATATATATATATATATATATATATATATATATATATATATACATACATATATATATATACATATATATATATATATATATATATATATACATATATATATATATATATATATATGATGAGATATATCATGATGAAAATTCCAAATTGTACAAAAACTTTGTTTCGAATAAAGTGAATATTTATTATTATTATTATCATTTGGTGGAAAACATAATCTACTGTTTAAGAGGCTAGATGAAGTTCGATTATGTATCCCTTTTCATCACACTCTTACATCACTTCTTCAGATGACAGTTTTTCCTTTAGTGACACTTAAATTATCATTAATTGCTACTTAATATCACAATTATTGGTTTATATCTTTCTTCACTTCAATGATTGATTCTAATATCATTTTCAAGATGTTCGAAATAAACAGATGAATAGATGCTGTGAAACAAAATAACTTCAAATTATTCTACAAATTAATTTCGTTTTGACACTTTCTCAAACATCCTCCTAATGTTAATAAAGTCATTTAAATCACAATATAAAAAGAAGGTACTGATGGGAAAATTTTTAGGTTGTTGATAAGTCGTACTTTCAGTGTTTACACTGATGAATCCATTTTTACTAGTCAAATGAGATGTCACTCATACTCATATGTCTCTGATGAGTATAGTCCCAATGTGAGAGATAGCTTTTTGTGTTTAAATTGTCCCGTGATATAACCGATGTGATCTTTCATTTACTACAGCACATATAAGAGTATTCTTGTCGTTCAGTAGTATGTATTGTGTGCATGAGATATGCACTCAACATGAGCAGAAATATGAGTCTAATCAGAAAAGTATTTTTCATAGAAATTTATTATTTTTCAGAGTATGTTACTGCCGACAGTACCAAAAGATAGCCAAAATAGCAGTTTTATACACCAGTAACTTTACATTTCACTAATCAGTGTTTTCTACCATGAATTACCCAGTTTACTAACTTTAATGTGTTGATGTACTTAACATCTTCAATTCATCTTTATTTTCCTGTTTCAGTCTAACGTACAGCTGCATTTAAAACCATTAGATGAAAACATATGTGATCAATATCAGCAGTTACTAGCTGTTAATACAGAATTATCAGAAAATTTTTATCCCCAGGAATTAACAACGTCCAGTCAAAGGTCAAATAACCTTCCAAACGATAATACATTTGTTAGCAGAAATCGAACAAGGTAAGTTATTTCTTGGTGTATCATAATACTTATTATGAATAACAGACAATTAACGGCATAACTTTTAGAAAAAAATATCCCCAATTAAAAATTTAATTGAAAGGGTTTGGTTAGTGCTGAATCCTAAGAATCAGAAAGCTACATCGGTCACTCCTTAGTGATACATTCATGTGCATAATTAAGCTTTCATGGTGTTCATTTATGAACTGAACAGCTGAAATGTAAAGTCTCTTACTTCGGGTTTTAAGTACCATGAGCACAATTTCGTCATGATCACAGACACGTCATGCTTATGATTACTGATAGGCACGAAACTTAGACTGCATACTCCGTCCACCTTCTGTTACCAGTGAAATGGAAATTACTTTCCACTGTTTTTCATTGGAAAATATCTTATAAAAATGTAAGTGAAGAGGTTACAGACTATCCTATTTCTCAAATTAACTAAATCACTCGCTGTTTTAACATGAATAGTCACTTCACGAATCAAACAAACTTGTTATTCCCTACACTACGATAAAACTATTTAGAAAGTATATCACTAAAAGTGCATTTCTTCTAAACATCCTCACTTGTTTATGTTTCACTATCACATGAACACAACTAGACTGATGATTCAATAATCTTTGACAACCTTGAGAACAGTACAGATTTCAATGTACCAGGATGATAACTAAAGCTGATTCGCGGTTAATTCAAACTCAGAGGATTTTGTTATTACAGTGGGAATAATAATATTTGCTTACTTTTAGACGTCTGATTCTCATAGTCCCTCGATTTCGAACTAACGAAGGATCTTGAACTCAAAAAGTTTTCCCTTTTTCTCAATTAAACAACAAAATTAAAATAAAATATCTTCAAGATTATTTCTGCCACTAAGAAAACCATATCTAAATGAAAAGGAATTTATTTCCATCACCTTCTTGCTTGCTTTTTCTATTGGGGTGGGAGTTTTTGTGACAATGTAATAAGACGTACTTGTCACATGAAAGCAGTTGGTAATAACAATAAATATTGTCAAAAATTACTCCTGAAGACCTGAAGCTTTTTCGTTTTATGAAATCAAAACTTTAACTACTCACTGTGTTCATAATAGTACAACAGTAACTTTAATGTGTGTTTCGTAACGTTTTCCATATAAAATGTGAAGCTACTGAGTTTATTATCACTATGATATCGGTAGTAAACACTCCTGTCGCTAAAGTCTCATGTTTGGATGTGAAACAAATATTCCGTAGCCTATAGCTATTCTGTGGTTTCGGAAACAGCAAACCACTATCACTCTTGTCTTGAGTCGCAAATCTTTTCCATCATTTCAAATATTTAGTGTAGTCATGATTCAGTCACTCGTTTTCTACGCACCGGATGGGAGGATTTTGAATGGAACTCCTAGAATAATCTTTTTGGATACTTAAAGAATCACTGACTAAAGAAATTATATATACGAAGGCTAAACGTTTATTAGATGGAAAGGTAACAAATCAATTCTTCACTCTTTTAACATATTGCTTTGATTTTGGTATACAGTTGACAGCAATCAACGTCAACAGTCACCTGTTAACCCAACATGTTCCCTTAACAGAGAAGTTTGAAAGCTTCAACTCCCACTTGAATTAAAGGCAATGAGAGGAAGATTTCTTTTTACTATGAATAACCTAAATATTCTGATGAATTTCATGTCGATCAAAGTCATTATGTTTCACTTCATCATGTCTTAGTCAACATGCAACTAGTTAAACTTTTAATATAATTTATCTTTAGTCTTATGTTTCAGTGTGTTTTACATCCTTGTAGTCACTTGTTATAACCCGAAATATATACATATATATGTTCGCACAGTTCTTCGAGAAATGGAGAGACGGCAAGATAAGAGAGGGTATAATGCAGCCTCAAAATATATACAAGATACAATGGTATATACATATTAAGAATGACCATAACTATTTCTTGGCCTTTCTCGAGTAGCATATTTCATTGCTTTTTGCCTATTTAACCAATTTGGTATTTTTATGTTGGTTCAAGTTCTTTTTCCCGAAACTTCTAAGCAAGAGAATTGGTCGTAAATGACTTCAGGGATTAACGGCTTCTTAAGAAGATCTTAGTCATATTATTGTGCACTATAACAGTATGCACCTATTAACCCTGGTATTTGAATCTTCTCACTTGTAAAAACAAAACCTATGTTCACCAATGAATACTCTTCATGTTATGAATAAATGAACAATACACTTACTAAACCATTGTAATATATTTTTAGGAAGTTAATAAAATCAATGAAATATTCCCTGTTTAGTCGGTAAAAATATGAAGAGATGAATGCATCGAAGATAATTATGCTTTGATGGTAATTCGGTTTTCTCTGCACTTTGATATTTCATTATAGATGTTTCATCATCAGGTTTGATGATATCATCAGCATCAACTTCATAAAGACTTGAAGGACATTCGAATATTATACGAATATTTAGACAGTGTTTTTGTTGACCTTGAGTGTTGCCCAGTTGTAAGTTGAGGAAGAGATTTTTGTCCCACTTAAACCTACTTGACTTTATGCTTCATTTGGTCACTTTTGTTAAGAATCCATGTTATGGTGGAACTCTGCTATTTTTTGGTGTCATACTATGCTTCATGATGGCCTTGTTTAGGCGATTTGTAATTGGCTGATTGAGAACTGTTTCATTCTTAAGCAGGTTACAGATTCAAATTCAGTTTACATCAACTTGTTTTGAACTAACTTTGTTGGAACGCCATACTTCTAAAAATCCTTTTACAACCACTAAACCTGCTCTTTCGAGGACTTCTTCAGTTCTGGTTGAATTGGCTATTGTGTTGGTCTGTATGCACTGAAATCAAGAAGGGCACCACAAGTCACCTTATGTTTTTTCCGAATTTAATTTGATAGCGGACATTCGATAGCATATAATTTAGAGAATAGAAAGCTCCTGATCAAAGCACTGGAAATGTAGTAAGTGAATATTGCATAATTTAGCAAACTATCTGGAAAATTCCAAAAAAACAGCAATTAAGATAAAATGTACATCATGGATACCAGTAATGTCCACCATTAGGCACTTACGTCATCAAAAGTATTACCTAATGACAAATGAGAATTTTCTGAAAAATATATGAAAATAATCAAAATGGAGTGACTCTAACAGCACCTTAACAACCATTTAAAATAGTCAACTAGGTTTCTTTGTTTTTCTAGTTAAAAAGCTAGTTCCTTTCTACAATAAAGAAAATTAACTGATCATTGCAGTAGTCACTAGAGTGGTATTCAGAGTTACTTAACAGAAACAAATAAAATGCAATCATTTTAATTCTAAGAAAAAGTTAGGTATGCATACTTCTTTTGACCATACAACCGAGGTTCGAATGTCTTATTCTCATTTCTTTCTAATGATTTAATCGTACAGTGTAGAGGGCATTGAAAGACATTTCAAAATGAAGCTAAATGTCTTAAACCCAATAGATCTCAATGTAACACCACTTGTTTGTCTGGAGATTTCAATATTTAGTCTAAAGTGAACCCTAAATATATTCATATCATAGAAAAGACTCTTTGGGTTGACTACTCAGAAAACAAGCATCAAAAATTTCGGGATTGAATAAAATTGAACAAAAAACAACATTATAAAACGCTAACAAGTTTATTATTGCATTTTATAGTTGTATCTAAATATCAAACAAAATAGGTATATATTTGTCAAGTATATGTCTATAACAATTGAAGTAGTCTAAAATTATTGATCAGGAGTACTTATAAAACATTAGTGCTGAACTGAAAACTCCCATCATGTCCATCTTGAGAACTAAATAGCAAGATAATAGTCAAATTAAAGTGATCTTTGTGTTTACTTGATTCACTTATGCATAAGAATATTTGAGGTCCAAAAAACTGTATTGGAAGTTCTAAGAACACAGCTAAAAGTGATCTATGACAAAGCTGTCTCAACGGTTATTACTTTACACATGAATTATTATTGATGTGAGATGGTAATTACAACACCTAAGTCAAGCTACGCTAATCCCTTCAGTTACTAGTAACTATTAAAGAACCTACCAACTGACACTGAGCAATCAAACAAAAAATTCTCTTCAGTTCATTAAAACAAAAACAGCTGATAATAGCAATAGCAAAACTCACTGTTTATCAGTGTATAATATGTGTAAATTAATTCCAATCAACTTTTGATCAAAATAAAACAAACTGGTTTAACTCTAAGCGTACTGTGAACATTATTATCAAAATATAATTTTTATTCTAATATTTCTATCATAGGTTCATTGGATTAATGATAATTATTACATGTTGTGTTGTATTTCCAACGATATATTTTATGTGTTATACTGCAATGCATTGTAAAGATGATAACGAAATCCATTTCAATGAAAGTTACAAAATGAATAAAATAACTTCAAAAGCATTAAATGAATATATTTTGAATCATTTTGCGAATTCTTTCAATTCATTTTGTACAACTTCTTCCTCATCACCTTCTACAATCAATTATTCTATTAATTCAAATGATGAAGATATTAGGATATCAAATAACTATCAAGTCAATGATATATACAATGAAACATTGAATCAAATGAAAATTAATTCAGTAAAACAAAATTTTGTAAATTTAGATTTTGGTATTTTTGATGAACCAAATCAAAAAGAATATGAAAATGTTGTTAACTTTTTAAAACTAAGATTTAATTATTTTTATGCACATCATAAACTGAAGTCAACACTTCACTAAACAATAAATCATGGTTTGATAAGCTTCGTATTAATCTTTTATGGAGTTTAAATCTATATATTCCAACTAAACTAGAACGTGCACAATATTTTGATACTATATTCAAGAAACTCATCCAGACAAATGTTCAATATGAAAGATATGGAATTGCAATTATTCTATGCGGTTCATGCATAACTCCTGAAATCCAAGAATATCTAATTGGCCCTTTGAAAAAACCATCTAAACTGAAACTTTTAAATGTTTATCCATTTTATAAAAGACCTTTGAGTAATATTGAATATAACGCCATTTTAGATTTCTTAACTACTCAAACAAATCAGATTGATAATATCATTCAAGATGCTTATTCAGCTAGTTACTTTATGCAAAAACCATCAAACAAACTCTGGTCATATGGAAAAACACAGTCCTGGCTTGATCAGTTTGATGAGACGAAATCACTTTGTCAAAAGCACCATGATACCCAAACACTTAATATTAAAGGAAGACCGTACTGTTTGATTCCAACATTTGCTTCACCTTTAGTAACATCACAAACACCTGGTAGACGTTGCATGTGGATACGACTATCCAGAGAAGTGGCTCCTTTTATACAGTACCCTGTAGACATACAATTTTATGTAAGTTGCATTTCAATCACTTTTGTATGCAGTAAGTAAGCAAATAGACAGGACTTATAATATTTCAAGCAACACTAAAAAGTTGGCAAAAGAGGTGAGGCAGCGAAAACGGGACTTAAAGTGAACGTAGAGAAGACAGAGGTGATGAAGATAACCAGCCAATAACAGAATCAACAACAAGCACCAATCAATATCAATAGGAGAAATCTAAAGAAAGAAGTCTCTTCCACCTACCTAGGCAGGTAGCATCGTTTCAACTACAAGTGGCACAGGCATAGATGGGAACGTCAAAGCAGCCAGGATCGGATAGACAGCATGACTGGCTTTCACTAACCTGAAACCAGTGTGGAGATATACCACACTCCACTCCACTCAACATAAAGCGTCAACAAAATCCGGATTTTCAACACTAATGTCAGTCAAATAAGTCAGTGCTTTATGTGACAGTTGAAAGACTTGGAGGCGCGTTACGAAAAGCAGTTGCAACAAACAATAGGCACTCATCGATAGCTGCCCCTTTGCTCACTCGATATTGAAGATCAGATCAGATGGAACTCACTCTGGCTGGCTGGCAATGAACCGACTAACCAAGAACCCATCGCCCAACAAATTTGCAAAAGAGAATTGAGATGGATTGTATTGTGCTTACACTGAGGAGACCATTCGTGGACATCGCGCGACAGGCCAGACCAGGCCCTCGAGTGGAACCCAAATAGGAAATGACGAGATGAACCTAACTTGCATTGGTTAATTATGTGCCTCACTAGTTTTTGATACTTTTAAATTATTCAAGTCATCTGACTGGATTTTTTAAAGTTTAAGTGCTTAATTTTACGGAAGAACTCAGCTTTTGCTTTAGCCTATTGAAATATTAAATTTAAAGAGATTATATAATCTCTACACCTAAATTTGGGTGATGAAAGTTTTTTAGCAGCTGAACCACCAACCTGTTTATTTTCCTACTTAAATCATAGATGAAATTGAGTTAAACCAGAAGGTAAAGATTGTTGAATTAAGTTTTCGCTTTCTATAGTGACAATAATACTCAAAAATCCAAAAGATTATAACTTGATCTTGTGTAATAATGGTGGTGCAAACGATCAAGCAATTATAAACTAGAAAACATTATTTTTCTACATCTTTTTTTATCTGAATGGTTTCTTAGTTGTTCAGTGCATATAGTAAGATATGTTTTAAGTGAGTACATTTGTGAGATTTCATACAAAATTGAAGATAGCAACGTACTATGTTTTTGAACTGTTGTTAGGATACTTGTCTCTAACTTAGAAATTGCTCAAATCATAAACCTTTTCAGGGAGAGAAACACCAAAATTATGCACTCTAGGGTTCTAAATGAGCTTTGAACCTAGGAGTGAGCACTTTAAACATCAGGAAAACTCTAATCAGACTCAAAAGCTTCTATATTTCATTCAATGGGTATAAATGGTTGATTGTTTCCAGTGTTCAGAAATAAACGATTATTAATGTTTCAAGTTGTTATTCATCGAAGACTGACATCAGTTGGAGGAACAAAGGAAACCTGGGAGCACTGGACAGCTCCCAGGTTTCCTTTGTTCCTCCAACTGATGTCAGTCTTCGATGAATAACAACTTGAAATATTTCCAAATCTCCACAACCCCCTCAAAATTTGATTATTAATGTCATTAATCATTGTTCTCCATCTGCTTGGAAATGTTCTGAAGGTGGGTTTGTCCCCAGTTTATCACTTGTATATAGTAAAACAGATTATCTCTTCCTTTCTAAATATGAAGAAATCGACAAGGATGGGTTTGAAACACATCTTACACTCCATTTTTGAGGAGATGGTTGCTATAGTTTTTACTAACTTAAGAGTCCTGTAGTGGGCCTTTGACCTCTAGATCTACTTCAATACCTGCCATCTTTTGTGTCGTTTTGGATTTCTGTTATGAAACAATGTTTTGCTAACTAACAGCTTAAGTTTCAACACATAAACTCAGAGTATTTCAGCATTTATTTCAAATATATATTTTTTGTAAATGTTTTTAAAACTTGTAGATCGATCACACATCTATAGATCCAAAACAGTGGAGTTTACTGCTTATTTGGTTTCAAGGTCAGATGTTTTCATCAACTGAAGAACTTTTGCATAAATATCACTCTGGTGAATTCAAAGTAATTAAACAACAATTTGTTGATATGTATCCTAACCAATTAAAACCAGGACCAAATCAGTACAAGGCAGCTAAAAGTAGTACATCATCTACGAAGAGTTCAAATGAAGAATCTCCACAGTCAACAAAGCCTAAAATTCATCGCATTTACATAAATAAGCGTCGAATAAAATATGACAGATGGGATTTCCATGTAACAATGAGGAGAGATACAGGTCTTAGACTTTTTGGTGTATATTATGCAAATGTAAGCCTATTATCTGAAGCTGGACTTGATGAAACTGTAACAGCCTACTGGGGTAGATCACCGTTTATGAAGACGATGACATCATTAGAGTCAATGTATGGTGTAGGTGGTATGACTTCAGAACTTAGCCCTGGTTTAGACTGTCCTAAAAATGCTATCTACTTACCAGTACAGTTAATTCCATCAGGAGAAATTGGACCTAAAGTTATTAAAAATGGTATTTGTTTATTTGAATGGAAAGCTAATCCATCAGCTGGTCCAGTTAGACGCCATTTTGAATTCTCTACAAATGATGATGCTGTTGATACAGGCAATGCAAATGAAGCGAAGCATACAAATTTTGGATTTGGTTCTACAAGTCAATCACTTGTTCTACGTGCTATATCAAGTTTATACAATTATGATTATTTATTTGATATAATTTTTTATCCAACTGGTGTAATCGAGTTTTCTGTGACCCCAACTGGTTATATACATGTTGATGCTGAATTGCATCCTTTTCAATCACAGATGAAATATGGTTACTCATCAGCAATTAATCCAATCTACTTTGTCATTCATCATCATTTATTTCACTTTAAAATTGATGTAGACATTGTCAATAGAAGAAATTTTATGAAAGTTATCAAAATACGTGGACCACTTACAGAAGATCAAGTTAATACTACTGAAAAGCATGAAAGTAGTAATCAATCAACAATGTTGTATAATTCAGAATTATTATGGATGTCAACTGAAATTCCTAAGACTGAAATGTCAGCAAGATTTTCAGCTAAATTTGAATCACCTAAACAATATTTAATTTGTTCAACAAATCCTCATATGAATGAATCAAATAAGACGACAAATGATTATTTTAGACATGATAAATGTTTAATTATTGTCAATAAAGCTCAAATAAAGACTGTTTTCCATGATGAACATACAAAATCCTTCGCTTGGTCCAGGTGATTAAATCTGTTAATCTCATTTGAATAATATGAGCTAATTTCACCTTGTGACAATTTATAACTTGGAGTTAGAATAATGAATTGTGTTATCATTTACTGTGCATAATTCTCTCTTGTCGACAGATAGTTGCACATAGAATCAGGTGTTGTCACTTCTTCTAAGTATGATGTCAAGTGAAGTGTTTTCAATCACTGAGAAATTTAATACCCTGGATAATGTGGGGGATGTCAATGAGGTCCTGATATAAATCTGGAAATCTCTTCAGAATAACTTGAAATATTTTGTACTGAAAATCACCTGTAATAAATCATTAGGTAACATCTAACAATGATTCACACGAGCATAGGAAAACTAAAGAAATATAAAAACCTTATAAGGAACATTTTATTATGTAATTTAATTGAAAGTAACTGACTGGGACTGACATAAATGACTACTCAGAAATATTGCACAGTACGGATTTTGTCTGGTAAAATCGTTAAAAACGACAAGGGAAACGATTATCATAAACTTTTGCGTAATGTGAGACTGCACAGATAATAAATGACTTAGCCTTATGCACACCTTTCACTATGTAAGATAGCAGATAAGTTCCTTTAAACTATTGTCCTCCGAAGTTTGAGACATGGTGTTTAGCAAGTCTCTAGCTACTACCACTCATAAACTCACCTCTTTCTCACTAATACTTAACTTTTTGTATGAAAAATATAGAAATATGAAAGTCTAGATAATACCGTTCCTGGATATTGTAAATTTTTGCAAAGGAATAACCTCTGAATCACAAACAGTGTGGGTTCTGATCACCAGTGGTAAGCGTGTGGTTATTTACAACTTTTCAAGCGGTTGATGAGGTTTCTACGCGCACGAAAACTTCTAATAATAATAGTAATATATGACGAAAAACTTATATGTCTAATCTAAACAATTTGTATTTAGTTCTGACGGAGTCTTGGTGCTGAAATTCTTGTATGGTTCCCCTTTAAGTCAAACTGCCTCCTACTGTAGTACAAGAATATGTCAGGATTGACTATAAAGATCACTCTAGCCAGTACTAAAATAACCGATTTGGTCTCTTGATTTCAGAAACAAAGGTCATTTTAATCATCAATAAATAAACCATACTGGTTATTTCATTAGTTGTTAGAGTGTTCTGCTGAATTACTCTAATAGTCTCAAATTCTTTGTTGGGAAAACTGATCACCTTCGATTAAAGCAACTAGAAAAATAAATAAGTAAATATGAAATGTGTGTTGATTATTCTTTTCATTTGAAAATAAATCACTGAGGTCTTTACTAAGTACACTTAATTAGTAAGGTAGTTCACACTAAAATTTGGTTCGAAATGAATAAGAAAATTGTTTTCAACATGAATTCTAGCTTTATGGTAGTATTCATTGCGGATTGGCATCAGTTGGAAAACAGTTGAGAACCTGAGAACACTGAACAGTTGTTTCGTTCCAGCATGGGACTCCACAACAGTTTGCGCCCACGGCGCCGCCAGAGATTGAACTCAGGAGTTTCAGATCTCATGGCGAACGCGTTAACCATCCACCCTTTGGGTTGTAGCTCAATGGTCCACAGTTTCCTACTCCTACCAATTCCCAATATAGAGCGATTATCAAGAAGGTTTTCAGTTGGCATCCGTTCCACTTCTAACTGGCTGGAGCCAAGCTAGACTAATGTACAATACTTGTTAGTGACATGCTTCGATATCGATACCCCTAATTTCTAATAAGAAGCTATGACCTGTCAGGTCAACCAGTCGAAAGTGAAGTAAATGCCAACGACGTTGGTGGATATTCGCGCTATATTGCGAATAAACAGAAGTTGGACATTGTGGACCACTAAATTCTAACTTATTGAGTGAATGGTTAACTCACTCACCGTGAAACCTGAAGGTCCTGAGTTCGACCCATGGCGAAACCGTGGGTGTGTACTACTGGGAGATCCCATACTATGACAAGGTGGGTGTCCGGTACTCCCAGGTTTTTAAGGGTTCTTCTAATGATATCAGTCCATGATGAATACTACGTTGAAAATAAAACCTCCATTAATCTTAAAGCATATATGAATTTTAGCATAATTTTGACTTCATCTGCACCTGCAACAAATGTTCTCAAGAGTTCATGAAAAATTCTTATTAGAGTTATAAAATGATTATGGCTTAAAGGCCAACATAAGGAAATTACAAAGTGATTGTGTTATAATTTATGAAGTAACAAAACAGGTGGGAAAATTGGAACACCTTCAGTGAAATTAATGATTACAGAGTCAGAGTAAGGGGTTGAAATAATAGTAACTATCCAACTTTCAGTAGTTTAGACGTCTCCATGAGGTCTTGAAACAGAAGACGTTTAACCGAGAGACATTCCTTTCGGTGGTATCATTCTCAAACGGTACAATTACCCATAAATATTATATTCACATTTTCCGCTTTCCTCACCTGTTTATGAACTCAAAATTATTATGCTATCACCTCGTAATTATCTTGTATTGTTCAAGTTGGTATTCATCATGGACTGACAACAGTTGGGGGGATACTGGAGACCTGGGAGCACTGGACATCTGCTTCGTCTCAGTGTGGGACTCTTCAGCAGTGCGAAGCCATGACCTCCCCAGGGATCGAGCCCAATACCTTCAGGTTGCGTGGCCAGCACGTTACCGTTGAGCCACTGAGTTAGAATCCAACTGTCCATATTTCCACTTCTGTTAGTTTACGATATAGTTTGACCATCACCCGATGTCATCGCTGAGTATTTGTCCTCACATCCACCAGGTTTACTCCACCGCTCATGACTTCTCATTGGAACTTTATAAATCACCTCTCGAAGCTAGTCACCAATGAGCATCTGCGTTGATTGACTATTCAGACATTACCTAGTATTCCTATACACAAGTTTTGATGATTTTGTGTTGACCTATTTTAATCACCGTGTGACTCTAGTAACAATTTTTGATGAACTTATGTTAACCCATTCGCAACTGATGGACATACTTTTATCATGAATATAATCACGAATGTATAGCTTCTAAAAATGATTTATCGAGAAGAAAATATTGACAATAATTCTTTATTTTTAGGTGACATACTTTAGGCAGTGACATCAACAGAAGAATTATTGAGAATCTGGGAGCAATGGATAGCTGTATGGGACCTTTTAGCGCAGCGTACCCACGACCTCGCTACAGATCAAACCCAGAACCTCCATTTTGCAAGGTGAACCCCTTACACCATTTAGCTGATGGGTCAGAGTTCAGTGGTCTATGTTTTTCAGTTCACGATTTAGCGCGACCATTCATCAAGGTTTCCACTTGACATCCGTTTCCCTTCCCACTGATCATGGCTTTTCCACGTTTTCAATGTTTACCCAATTGATGTCAGTCCGTGAATAATACAGCTTTAAGATCCCCGTAAACCACGGACTATAATTATTCTTCATTACTGATGTTCACTTGATAAGAAAATTTCAGTACTGATGAAGTCGGAGAACCAATGAAATCTGTATTTATAGGCCATACTGCTGCATTCATTTATCTAAAAGTATGGAATTTAAAGAGTGGGAATCATATTAATGGATAAAATGACAATAGAAGTACATTTCTACCACACAAACTGACAGGTCTACATGTTTACAATACCTTAGCGTTGGTGAAATATGAAAAGCTTACACTGAACATATTCTATGAATTTTATGTAGAAGATAATTTAGTCTTCAATTTTTATTGCTTTTTTGTCTGTATTCTGTATTTTTTTATTACCCACTGGAAGATACCCCCACTCGCTTTTCTAAAGTAAATCAGGCTGTATATGTTACTTAAATCTGTTCGTATAAGTGGACCATACCACATTCGTATTCTTTTTATCGTTTGATCGTTTTTAAAACAAACAACCACAAACCAACTAACTATAATTCAAATCCCATTTATAGTTGTGTTTAAGATGGATTCTTCTATGAGCACCTATAACCAATTGGATCAATCGAGTCAGTGATGAAAAAGGATATCCATCTACAATGATAGATGACGGCTTTGTTACACCGCAGATTGACTGAAATATGAAATAGGGCTTGGTCTTCAATGGTGTCTTGATTGGACATTATCGAGAAGTTTTAAATTTGGATGTAACAGATTTATTGTGTCAACTCGAGTACATTATTTCTTTAGGGAATTTTAGTTTCGCAATAAAAATCAAATTGAAACCAATCATTTCCCCGAAAACAATTTGAATAGGAAAGTGAAAGTTGAATACAATAAAAATTGAAGAGTTGCGAAAAACGATCAAGCAATATTCTGTTACCTAGAAAGCAGACTATCTCAGTATCTTCCTTTCCTTTAATTATACTGTGTAGTGAACTGTGATTCCTTGTTCAGCACTGATATCCAAGTTGAGTCTATCCAGCTTCTATATCATAGTGATTATTTAAGTTACAGAAACTTACATGCTACGTTTGTTTACTTAAATGTTTTATTATCCCGTATTCCTAACATTAGCTAACTTTAGTGGTTGAGATTATATTCAATAAACGAATGTATCTGGAAAATCAGAGTTCATGACTTCAAAGTAGCTGAACTATTTTCCTTTATCTTGAACAATAAGATTTCCATGAAATATTTCAAGTAAATTATCTATTTCCAAATGATTTGTTAAAATTCACTTCTTTAATTTCTCCTATCAGTAATCGTAAATGTTTCCTTTCGATTATTCTGACTGATAATAAGTCTCCTTAAGGAATTCAGTGAGGAAGTTTACAGTGGTCATGTTTTTAAAATATCTTTGAAGTTATCCGTTAGGCTATCTAAGATGATTCAAAGTTAGTCAATTGATCCATATAGATGAAAATGATTTATTTGAAAGGAAACACTTCTCATAGTGTAATTTTAGCCTTTTCATTGTCATCATTACTATCGAAAACAAGTTATAAGTTTATCATTGTTATTTTTCATTAAATAATTTATTAGAATCAAAACTGCTGCTCGCTGAAGTCGTTATTTTTTCCCCTCTGAAATTCTAGGCATCAACTTTATGTCACTCGACAACATGACAATGAATCATTTGCGTCATCAATCTTCAATGGAGTCGATTTAACTTCACCAGTTGTTGACTTCACTAAATTTAGCTCGAATAATGAGTCAATATTCAATGAAGTATGTTTAACCGTTGAATAATATCGTTATTGTGAAACACTACTGTAATAAACAAATATATATATATATATATATATATATTGTCAATTGGTAACATGTTACCTCCCGGTACCCATAGGTTAGTAGCCAGTGATATGTACAAGAATTCGGCAGGTTAGTCAAAGAAGTATATAAAATCGTACCTTACACACCCTTAGGGGTATAATTTAACGTCATGAATTAGGTCTGGAGATTCATTTTTACCTTAAAAATTTACGCTGGACTTCAATGATGGTAGAAAAGATGATATTTTGTTGACATTAATGGTGGTATATACGCAATGAAATAGGCAAAACCAACCAAAAATTTGGCATCATAATTTATTCCCATCATGGAAGATCAAGTTCCACATCAACAGAATGTCTTCGTTTAAATCGAAAATGAAAATATTAAGACCTGAGATACAACAGAACTTGCAATGGTAGTGGCTATAGAAGGCCGTTGCCACTACACAGCACAAAACCTTATTGAAAAGTTAATAATGTTATTACATCAAGGCTATCATTTTATTTTATTCGTAGTTAGAACTGTTGGATATAAAAGAATTCAATAGTTCAAATCAGACTCTGACCATATTCCTGCATATTCAATTGTAAAATAGTTGAGTTACGCCAATAGGCTTTAAGAAAATACTCTTGAACAATTGTCACTGGCTAGAATGTATTGAAAAAAAAACTTGAAAAAGTATGTAGCCTCTGATCGATCTATAAATTAGTCTGTAGTTACTTGTAGAATCAATCAGTTTCTGTAAAACACAAGATAGTAATGAAGAGAAAAATGTTACTGAATTATTCCGTAGTAAGTCATCAAAGAATAGTTAGGTGAATATTAAAACCAAAACTATAACATAAGTTGTGTAATTACCGACCAAGTGAAATAAAAGAACTTTCTGCAAGTCGGTACAAAATTCCTGACAAAATTCAATATGAGGGTTTGAGGGGATTTATTTATTTTTTATGGTGGTATTCATCATGAACTGATATCAATTAGAGAAAATTTGAAAACCTGGTAGCACCTTACAGTTTTTTTGTCCTATTAAAGGACTGTCTAACATTGCGAACCCACGACACTGTCGGGTATCAAACCCATGCCATATAGGTTTCATGAGAATCACTTTACCATAGAGCCACCGGGTCAGGGCTCACTGGTCTACATTTTCCTACTGCTGTCGATTCATGATATAGTGTGATTTGCATCCAGTACTATCGTTGAGTACCTGTCCTCGTGTCCGACTTGGTTAGCCCCAAGGTTCACTACTTCTGATTAGATTTTCAAAGAGGCGAAAACATTGGTGAAATTTCCAACCAAGTATAATATGAGTTTGAGTGAAATAAAAAATAGTTTGAAGCATGCCAACATTGAAACGACAGCGAAAGGGTTGAAAAAAATCAAAAGTCACAAGTAAACACAAATAGTTTATGAACAAGAAGGCTTCTATCCTTATAGTTAAATAAACTTGTTGGATTTTACGTGCTATACTCAGTGCTTAATTACTGTGGGTAAATGTTTTCGTTAGAGGAATTCAGTGTGATTATATACACATTTGTTAGCAAGTAGACGGCTTGAAATTGAATTAAAACCCACTAAACAGTAGCTGAACGACAACGTTGAATACATTAATTATCAAAATTGATGTACTAGTATGGTTCGTTTTCGGCAGACAGAAACGAACCTACAGACTTTGCTTAACAGTCTGGTTTTTACACGGATGCCTCAATAATTCGTTTGATCACATTTAATAATAATAATAATGTATTTTTGAGATGAATGTGGATTTTTAATTTGGAAGTAGTATTCATCATGGAGTGACATCAGTTGGGGAACCATTGAGAATCTGGGAGCACTGGACAGCTATTTCGTCCTAGTATGGGACTCCTCAGCAGTACGCACCCACGACCCGGCTAGGGGTCGAACTGAATGGTTAACGCGTTCGCCGTGAAACCTGAAGGTGCTGAATTTGATCCCTAGCCGGGTCGTGGGTGCATACTGCTGAGGAGTCCCATACTAGGACGAAACAGCTGTCCAGTGATCCCAGAGTTTCAATGGCTCCCCAACTGATGTCAGTCCATGATGAATACTACTTGTGAATAATAATAATAACAGAAGATTTATTCCAGAGAATATCTTTGATACAGTTTTGAATTCTCGGCATGTAATATTTCAGCAAATTCACTCTTAGAACAATATTTTCCAACGAAAAGTATGGCATCTGAATGTTATTAATAACATTGGTATTGGAGGCAATAATTTGAGATATGTGACTGGTGTTGGATTAGACTTCAGTCAATATTGATGAATGAATGGAAAAGTGAGCGTAATTTTGGTGGAAGTGGTTTATTCAACCAGTACAAGAATCTGCTACACGAGTTGATTATCTTGAGAATAAAAGTATTTAGTATTTCTGCGCATTCAATAGTCTGTTTCCATCTAAAGTGACATTTCTTGTTTGTTTTGTTATTACCTCGAAAAATGGCCAGTTGAAAACATTTTAAAAAGGCGTAAGAGTATAAGATGGGTTCAGAGGATATATTTCAAAGATTAAAACAAGCTAAAAGAGAAGAATTTGATGAAATATGGTTGGTGTAAAATTTTTGGTAGCCCAAGATTCAAGTAGGCCGCCGTATCAGCATTTAACAAGCAGTGGGATCATTTCTGTCCTTTCAACAACCACTGAGAATATTCAATCATTAATGACAAATAGTACTTTGCTAGCAAGAAGTGACTAGGATTATAAATATCCAGACCATATTTATCATAAATATCCGGTAGAAAAAAGTGCGGCTTACACAACGAAATGTTCAGAAATATCTTTTTTGCTAAACACCATGAGATTGTAATGAAATATATTTTTATAAAGATGTGACTCACATAGCTTCCTAGCCAGATGTATAATCGTCTGGTATTCAAAGCAGTGGCTTCCAGTTTGAGTGGGAAAAATAACACAATCAAATTCACATATATCGAAATAATGAGTTCAAAATGCAAAGAAACGCGATACCTAGTTCTAATCACCACTATGGGTTATACAAACTGAATCTCACTTATAAACATTATAGATGATTTAGTGATATACAGACTAACAAGTGAATTCTAAGGAAAGACGTTCAAGTTATATGCGACAAATTCTTAAAAGAAAACAGGGCACAAATTTTACTTCATAATGATGATTCAATCTATCAAACTATGGTGCTAACCCCGGAGATGATAACCACTTACTAATACGATTTCACAATTCATACTTGTTACTTTTCTCTCAGCAGTTTCATTGATCCTCATCTACTGTTTCTATGATTCCTTAAAGACAAGTGTAAGCCCACAGTATTCTTACACATACTCAGCTGTCATGTTATTCAATGTAAAATCGATGGGTACAGATACATTTGAATTTCGATTGCATAGTACAATGAAAAAAGAAATTTTTGGTAAAACAAAAGGCCAGCAGGAATTGTTTAATTCTTCACTTGCCTTATGCTTCCTATTTGAAAAATCACTTAAAATAATGTAATCTCTGAGTTTTCAACCTTCCTACTCATTAACGATTAGCTTCTAAATGAGATTTCCCGAAGTTCTAATCAGAAGCCGTGACCAGGGGCGATAAAAAAGTTGGATTTCAGGACAAATACTCAACCATGACATTGGATAATTTATTTCATTGTTGTTTGTCCTTTGGGTTCCTAGTGGAACACAGGGCTTCAGTAGCACATAGCCGTTTCACTCTCTTCTCTGCAGTCTTTTCAACCTCGCTCCACCACTCCTAACAAACTTTCATTTCTTCCTCACACCATCTCCCCCATGTCACCCTCACCTCACACACCCAACTCATCGTTCCTCATTTTGGTTCCACTCGACGACCTGACCTGGCCTGACGCATGATGTCCCCAATCGGTCTTCTCAGTGTATGTCCAATCTAACCTAATCCCTCTCCACTCACTTCTGCATATTTGTCGGGTGATAGGTTGTTGGTTGTTGGTTGGTTCGTTGCTAGGCCAGAGTTCCTCCCTGCTTATTCCTATTATTCTCGCCATCTATCTGATCTGATCTGATCTTCAGTATCGAGCGAGCGTAGGTGGCAGCTGTTCATGTGCGATGTCTGCAGTTGTTTGTTGCAAATGCTTTTCGTAACGTGCCTCCAAGTCTCTCAACTATCACATAGGAGCGCTGACTTACTTGATTGGGATTAGTGTTGAAAATCCGGATTTTGTTGACGCCTTATGTTGAGTGGGGTGGAGTGGAGTGTAGTATATCTCCACACTGATTTCAGATTATTGCAGGAAGGCCTGTCTTGTTGTCTTTCCGATCCTGGTTTTGACATCCTTATCTGTACCTGTGCCACATGTAGTTGAAACGATGCTGCCTGCCTAAGTAGGTGAAGGAGACAACTTCGTTTAGGTTTCTCTTATTGATGGTGATTGGTGCTTATTGTTGTTGTTGGTTGGTTATCTTCATCACCTCTGTCTTCTCTACATTCGCTTTAAGTCCCGTCTTCGTTGTCTCTTCTGTCAACTTCTTGGTTTCGCCTGTAGATCTTCGAGTTTATTCGACAGGATATTAGATATAGATCGTCGTCGGTGAAATCCAAATCTTCTACTGGGGTCTTTTCATCTGCTCAGCCAGCATATGCCCATCTTCTCGCTCCTCATTGGATGAAGGTCAAGCTAAATCGCGAACCAACAGAAGTAAGAAAATGTGAACCATTGGATTCCGATCCGTAGCTCATTGGTGACGTGATCGCTTCGGAACCTAAACGTCATAGGTTCGATCAATCGAGGTGTGGTGGGTGCACACTGCTGAGGAGTTCCACACTGTAATAAGATAGCTGTGCAGTGCTCCCAGGTCGCCAATGGTTCTCTAACTGATGTCGGTTCATGATGAATAACCCCTTAAAATCAATAAATCCTCGAAAAAACTCAAAGGTAATTCATAATTCATGACTCATTACTTTAGTGATTCATAAAATTTTTTTTGTCTGTTTTTTCCAGTTAAATACCACCTCCTGTGCAATTTCGTAGGAAGCATTCAAAGTTGCATGTATTACACAGGGACTCTTATAAACTCTCACAAAAATTATATCTATCTCTTAGGGAAGAGTGTCAAGAGGAATCCGAACTAATATTTGAGACACATACAAGTCGGTTTGATTTAATTATCAGTATTGTTGAACGCGCCCAATACTGTTCCACTTTGAGTTTTAGTAACACCTGTTACAATAATTATTGTTGGAATAGTATTCTTAATTAAATATTGATAAAATGTGATACTTATTCATTATATTGTTTCTTATCTTCTGTACTTATAGGATCTTGTATTATGGTTAACAGTTGGCAACTATCACCTTCCAAGACAAGAAGATTTACCAAATACAGTTACCAGTGGTGGACCATTGTCAATATTGTTAATGCCGCATAATTTATTCACCTATAGTCCAGACGCTTTCAGTTGCAATCGGTTCTATACACAAGAAGTGAGTTAACTAGGAAGGAAAAATATCATTCAGTCTAAGAGGAGGACAAATGAATTCATAACAAGAACTTGAGTCTTGATGTGATTAAAGTCAGCACCATTTTGGATACAGGAACAGCACTCTGCTTCCTGAGTTATGAGATGTTGGTGCTGACCTGCGGGTCAGTGGTTTAGGGAGCTAAATATCAACCACTTAGTCATGGGTTCGAACCCCGCTCCACTTACAGAGATTTGGGCAACCAGATAGTATCACTAGCCTTCATATAATAGGTGTGGCTTATCAATTACTGCACAGATATACACAAGGTGGCCATGTTTCGTTCGTTCTGCGCTGGCCAGGCTTCGTTTTCACTTCACTTGCTTACTAGCTTGAACTGACTAAAATATATCTAAGACTCTTATTTACTCAACAACATTCGGTTGGAAAATGCATGTGTAAATTTGAAAACACAGATCAATTCGATTAGGATTAAGAAATAGGTAAAATGAACTTATTTACTCCACTTTTTGACTGAACTCATTTGCGGGTAAGCTATCATTTGAAAGATAAGGAACAGGATACCATTCCTCTAAGCCTTTGCATAATTATTTTTCCAGTTATTTACATGTTAATTAATCAATACCATTGAGAAAAATGTTTCATAAATCACTTAGTTTTCATTCTGTAAAGATGAATAAAATGGAAAGAAAATTTTTATTTCTGATAAATTCATGCAGTGGATTTTCTCATCATCATTTTGGCTGAATGCCAAATGAGTTACAATACACTTATCTGACAATTAAACCTCATATCATTCATGAGTATTTTTTTGTTCAGTTGTAGTTTGGAAATACGAATCAACTAACAACTATTTACCTTTCACTACATTGTTTGTTCAGTGTGTCCTTATCTATACTTTCAGTATCATACAAAATATGAAGATAAAATATTCATGCGTTAGTATAGTATATCGTATCCTAGACTCTGACTACAACTTTTGGACGATTTTAAAGGCCATCCTAGCAACTGTTGAGATAACCAATTACGTTCTCCTGATCTATGAAAAACTACCCTCTCAGCTGAAATCCTGAAATTTGATTGGTTAGTTTGGTAGTTGCCAAGGTGGCCTTTGAAATTATCCGAATTTCTATATACGGTTTCCGAAATACTATTGCCTTTTCTTATTCTCCCACATACTGCTGATCCACCTGAGTAAGATAGTGGTAATCAGCAGGAGGTAACACGAAATATAAATTGAGATGCTGTATTGACAAAATGGGTGAGATTAAAAGTTATCCCCAGGTGTTATACCAGTCTGTCTGAAGATATGCATCTTATGTCTTCTGTATGGATATATTCTGAAATGAAAACTGTCATCATAAATCCTTTCGGATGTTATTTGAAGCCGTAACTAACTCACTCTGATCTGTGAGGAATACTCATCCTGAATAAATGTACTTACTTTTCGTCTAAGAAGTGGAAGTGCAGCCAATACTTTGCACATAAATAAACGATTTGAAACACTATTCAATGACAGATGGCATTTTAAAAACTGTGCATATCTGTAAAATATCCATACAGAACACTGAATATGCTTGTATTTTCACAAAGAACCCTACAACCTATTGCTAGCACCATAACACCTGGGATAAGTTTTAGCCTCACCTGACAAAATGAGCCAACAAAATTCAAAACCAGTAGCGAGCAGATCGATTGTTCTATATCAGTACAATTAAACAAATGTTCAATTATAAGGTGATTGTTAAATATGTCAACAAACAGAGTATGATATCTATGCTGCAGGTACACTGCTAGCACAAAACAAAAGGAGAAATGGTAGAAATCATCAAACAACCTTATGTTGAGCCGGATGTTTCTTTTTGGTTTCTCGACATAGTACCGAAATGTATAAAAACACAAAGCAGTGGTTCCCTACAGAAGCTATGGCCTAGCAAAAAACGGTTTTCAAGTAGGAAATAACATTATTTTGTTTGCTATCACCTGAAACGTAGGCTAATGCAACTATTCGACGATACTCTCACTTTATTCTCACGAATATAGACAAACATGTAAAATATGTTACTGAGGCTCTCACTTCACTTGAATTCTCAAAACTGTTTTAGTAACCCTTAGTATTCCTGCGGTTTATAATCGCGGAAATAGTTTTTATTTAAATCTGTTGTCAACAAAATAACATCTAGGAGTTTACACCGAAAAGATATTTCGCCTCGATGCTGAAGCGCAAAAGCATTCCATCTGTAGAATTTCCAGATGGTTACGAGTACAGTTAACCTAGGAGTATGACTTGAACAACATTACGTTCTTCAAGTTAAGCGGCTTAACGACAAAGCTTTCGCTACTATTCGAGATATTTCTCCATTGGAAAGTTACGAAAAGTTTGCAGTTAAACTGGCTAGCTCACAGAATACAATACTAATCAGCTCTCTGATTTTAATTGGATATGGAACACCTACCGAAACGTCGAAGTCACATAGTGAACACATTATCAGTGGGTAGTTAATTCATGATCTATTGGCTAACTCCTTTTAAAGACCATTTGTAATATATTTCTGGTGACTAATTAGTCTCACAACTTGCATAGGAACCCTAAAGATCACAGTATCCTATTCAAGTCTCTTGAATTCTGTCTTCATAGTTGAGCACTGTAGTTTCTGATAAACTTCCGTTGAAAATAACTAGTTACCTTCAGTTTTAAAGTGTTACGATAACTTATTTCTGATAAAACATTTTTTTCTGTTACCCATGAGGCCAAGATAAAGGTTTTGATAAAAGTAATTAGTAGTTCTCTACACTTCATTGTGTACTGCGGATATAACTGGAAACAACCTGTAATAAAATGCAAGATTAAGTCATTATTTTATGAAATAATTTTCACATACATAACTCACTACTGAGTTAGTCAAGGTCAAGAATTAAACTTGATGATAACTTTAAGGTAGTGTTCATCACGAAATGACATCAGTTGGAGAACCACTGAAAATCTAGAGGCACTGGACAGCCGTTTTTTCCCAGTACTTTACTCCTCAGCAGCACGTATTCACGACCCAACTGGAGGTCAAGAAGTTCCATCCTATGGCGAAACGACTACCCAGTGCTTCAAGGCTTTCAGGGATTCTCCAACTGATGTCAGTCCATGATGAATGCTACCTTAAACGTAAAATCCCCATTAACCTCAAAATACAATATTGATAGCGAATCTTAGGCACAGAACTTGAGGATTCGAAACAATTTCTCTAAATGTCCAGAATCCAGGACATTGCGTCTAACGTATAGTCGATAAGTGTGATATTTGAAGAACGATTAGGATTACAGTAATTTAAAAAATACACAATCAGGAGATGATATTAGCGTATAAAGTCACTCACTGTTAGTCTTATGTGCTAATGAAACATTGGGCACGTTGGTCGATGCCTCCTAGTTAATATCACTCGCTGATGAAATTGTCATGAAACCAGTTAATCACCTCACAGACTATCTAGCTTTCCAAAAATAGTAACTTTTTTACTCCAGTTTTCGCTCAGCTCCCATTTCTAGGCCAAACATTCGTTTGTGTGAACGTTATCATCTCTTGAGCCTGGAAGATCAGTCTCTTCACCGAGCAGGAAACATTCATCCGTAAAGACTCCACGGGAAAACGAACACTCTTGACAGAGCATTCCGCAAACAGTCTCGAAAATTTTATTTTTTTAGTGAATTTCTCCCTCCCAACTGTCAGGCTTCGACGCACCGCACTCTCCAGGTAATGGACTACTTGACCATACTCACCTCCCTGTAGGTAGACGTGAGTGGGATGCGTCTCACTGATAGTCCACATTCTAGCAGGCAGTGGTGCAGTACACCTTCACGAAGTGACCAACCCCTGTCTTTTGGTTCACCAGAGGTTCACTCTCGAGCACTCACTCCTTATTTCGCGTCATGGCTACACCGGACGACATCCGGCATTCTGAACCTAATGCCGCTCACTTTCGCAACGTTAACCCTAACACTTCTCTTACGATTGCTGCTGTATCAGTGACTACCGGAATTAGAGAGCTGGACTCCCTTCTTTTTATTGGAACATTGTTCCCAGAACTAATTAACTGGGCAGAGTCCTGACGACATACAACTCTGTCCGTGCTTTGAAGGCCCCTGTCACTGACATCGCCTTCGGATCTTGTCAACGGCGTTTACCGTTAAGTCAACTAGACGTGTATTAGTTAGAATCCGACGAAGCCGTGTGGATGCTCGCCGTCAAGTACGTAACTAGGCTCGACCAGTAGTCTCCAGTGCCTCTATCATCTCAACCTTTCCTGACCAGTAGCTTAAATGACCAAACCAAGCTTCACGGACTACCAGCTTTTAAAAATTACCCACAGTTCTTCATTATTTAGTTAACTATTTACCCTTCGTTGACGATTATATAATGGTGAGGTTAGGAAAATTTATTAGATTTCTACATCAAGCTAACAAAGCAGAAAGCTTATAGAAACAGTATATTCATTTCGCAAAATATATCTCATAGTTTATTATACTTATCTCAGTATGATCATATAGAGCATAAACTAAATCCATATGTATATTTTAATTTATATTTTATCAGCTAAATGAATGGATAAACGGACCTCAAATGGAAGACGACTGTAAAATGGAGTCAATCCCAGAGTTGTGACGATATTTTCCGGCCAGAGACAATATTTAGCGGAGCAAAAGATACATTTCTCGAAGATTTCAGCCTCAGAGTGTATATACAGTAAAATTAAATAAAAGGCTACTTAAAAAATAACTATTCTTTTTACTTCAGTAATCAATTCCCTGTTTTGTGGATAAATACTACACTTTCAGATAAATAGGTTTTGCAGTGGGTTTGATTGTAGCCCAAACAACTCAAGAAGTGAAAAGCAGAGAGATGTACTAGGCAGCGGTTCCAACAAATGACTGGTATAGCCTGTGATTGCATCAATAATTGAAGTGGGTTTGAATTTCTGAGTGATAATTGGTTTTCCAAAGGGTTAAATATGCCTCACCAATGGTTAGTAACATAATCAGAAACTAGAAGGAGAGCTCCTTTATACTCAGTTGTTTCCGACCAAGAAAAATGAAAGTGGAAGTGCTTTATTGTGACCAATCCTGTTGGGATAGAAATCTCCCAGTAAAACGGTACTACTGCCTCAAAAAGAGTAGTCCACTAAGCAACTTTTTACTCAGCTGTTAGGACTGCTTTATCTCTTAGTACAGAGGTTCCACTTTTCAGTTAGCTAGGAACGTTTATAGTCAAAGTTAATCAAAACACAAGATCATATCTTATAGCCTATCAACTTAAGTCGTAATCCATATTATTAAAAACCAAGTACATCTGCATGTCAGAAACACCCATTATATGAGTGAGGACTAACTAGAATACCAAATGGGTAAAACACTGTTTATAGCTCTGTATTTGAACACCCGTAAGCTCGTTACAGCCTATAATAAGTTGTCAGGTAAGCAGTGTACAATGAGGGTTTTTTCGTCAAATGCACCTAACCTATGCATTCCCAATCAATTTTAGCACAGACGTACTTATGGAGGTCTCCCTTTCGTCACTAGACTACACAGGTATCGGTATAGCCGTGGGAAAATCCTTGGTAGATCTAGTATATGCAGATGACGGTTCTGTTAGGTGATGAAACTGCTGACAAGATAGAGTCTTCTGAACACCCTAAGTGGCAACCTGAGAATGTTTGAGGTGTTTCTCCCCACACAAATACTGACTGTTGTCCCAGGATTGGTCTTCTGCGGTGTCGTGGCTAACAATATAGAGTGAATTAATTGAGTTCCCTGTACACTTCACTTACCTGGGAAGTCAGTGGGTGGGTCAGTGGCTGACGAAATCTCTGCAAGATTACAAGGGGCTTGACTGGCTTTGCCAACTTACGCCATTTGTGGTGCCTTCACGATATCTGGTCGCTTACTAAGGGTCAAGTTTACAGAGCTGCAGTTGGCTCTACCACGAAATATGGTCATTAAAGGCAGAAGACATGAGAAGGCATCACGTGCCTGACCGCCGTTGCCTTCGTAACATGGACCATGTATCGTGGTGTCACCACAGGAGTAGCTCAAAAGTCAGGTGTAGATTTTTAGGGAGAAGAGGACAGTCAGTTGATGCAGCTATAAAATTAACCGACTTAGGTGTTTGGGACATGTGTTACGCACACCTAGTCACCGTCTACCTCGTCGCACAATGTTGGCTAAAGTATGTTTAGGCTGCAAAAAGGCTCAGGGCTGTAGACTAAAACATAAAGTCTTTGACTGTTGGTTTGAACCATGTATGGAGATGCAGACTTGCCTGTTGGTGTGCATACAACAACAGAAACCAGTAATTGCAGCACTTTCACTACCCTCTACTTCCTTTGACCGATTTTTCTTTCCCTCTTTAGCTTCCATTTTATTGCAATGTTACTTGATGTGTGGCAACTTGGACCGTTATGCAGTAACGCCTGGTCCTGTGTTGATCTTGATGATGATGATGATTAGTCAGGTAAGGTTCACATTACTACAGCACTTTGCTGATTTTTAACGTGGTGTTCTAATGTGAACTTCTGAAGGCTGTTAATGATTATAAGTGTATATTTCACACTTTTTACCAAGAGATTTGAAGGAATGAGCTGAAAGTATCATTGTTACCTGTCACGCATATGGTGCTATTTACGGTCCGTTTCCGTTGTTTAGCTATTTTTAGTAAAGAAAACCAACCTCGGACAGTAAGCTATTCCTAGGACTTGATAATCATTGTTTATTGTTTAGTAAAATAACTTCTGAAATGTCCAATTGGCTTCCGAAGTTACCCAACACAAAAGTCGGTCCTCATCATCAACATTATCAGTATCAACATAGGACCAGGCATTACTGCGTGACGGTTCAAGCTGTCATGCCTCATACCAGCACAGGAAGAAACAAAGCGATAAGATGAAAAATGAAGAAAGGAAGAAAAATTGGTCAAAACCAGCAGAGAGCAGTAAAAGGGAGGAATTAGAAAATTCTGAATTTAATACTACGGTTAAGATAAAGATAAATTGCCATCGATATTGATTCTAAGCTTTACCGCAGAAATGAAATGATGAGATTAGGTATAACGGTTAAGATGAGAATAACGGGTGTATACATCTGCGCCACTGACATCGGTTCTGAGCCATATCACCTAGAGTTTCTAACCACTGGTTTCTCTTGTCCTGCCGGCTAGTCTGCATCTCTATACATGGCTCATACCAACAATCAGGGACTCTAAGCAGTGATCTCATATTTCATTCTGTCCGCCCCGAGCCTTTTTCTAGCCCTCATCGACTTCAGCTAACTATGCATGATGAGGCAGACGATGACTAGGCATGCGTAACAAATGTCCCAGCCATCACAGTCCGTGAAGGTTCACAACCGCATCAACTGTCTTACCTCTCATCCCTAAAACTCTAGGTCTGACTTCTGCGTTACACACGTGGTGACATCACGAAATACGGCCTATGCTATGAAGGCAGTCCTAGTCAAACACCTGAAGCCTTCTCACGTCTTTCCTGAATGACCATGTTTCACAGCCATACAGAGCGGACTACAAAACAGTACACTTGACTCTTAGTAGACAGTCGGATATCACAGCGATGCTACAGACGGCGCAAGTTTCAAAAGCCAACCGAGTCGATGCTATCCTTGCAGAGATTTCGCCTGCCACTGACCCACCAGAGCGGATTCAACTTTCCTGTCTAGTGAAGTGTTCAACGCACTCAACCACTTCACTCTCTATTGTTAGCTACGGCACCGTTGAAGACCAGTCTTGGAGCAACAATTAGCATTTGGGTGACGAGAAACATCCCAAATAATCTCAAATTGCAACTCAGAGTGTGCGAAAGACTGCATCTCGTCAGTGTTTTCACCTAACAGGATTATGTCATTTACGTGTTCTGAATCTGCCAAAAATTCTCTTGTGATCAGGCCAATCCCTGTGTAGTCAAATGATGAAAGGGAGACCTCCATAAGAACATCTATGATAAAAGTGAATAGGAATGAAGAGAGTAGACATCCTAACTGATGACCTAATTGGTAGAATATCTATGGGAATTTTGATATCCATATTCTCATACAACGCTTGGGTTTTACTCTGGTGGCTTGTTCTCATGTTTTCTTATCACTAAACCTTTATTCATAGGGTTGTGAAAAGCATCTTTTATGTTTTTTCTGTATATGAGTAAATGCTAATGAGCTATGACTTTTCACAACCTAATTAGGTACAGATAAAAATGGTACATCCTAACTGGGAAGATATATAAGTAGTGGCATTACTGACAATTAAATAAACAACATGGGCGATTTTGAAGCTTTTTGATAGATATAACGGAATGGTAACTATCTACAGAGATTGATGGTCATTTATTCTTACATCAGCCTCTTCCTTTTATCTTATTATAATGCTGAAATAACTCTATAAGTTTTATATTTGTCAACTGCATTGATTGCCACGTAATACATCTTTTCAACCACACATTTTCTTTTTCAACAATAAGCTCTTCAGAATTTAATGCTACTGTTTAGTCCAGAGTTAAGCTGTTTACTGGTATATGTTGATAAAGTTAGGCTTCTGGAGTCCATCATAAAAATAGATTGATGAATGTGATTATAAGAAGGTGATACTTCTTGATTATATTACACATACTTCTAAATAGAACCCGACAGAGACCGACCAATTTGTACCTGTTTGGCAACGGGAAATTGCAAGCACCAAACAACTGATACCCGTTGCACAAAAGGCGAGTTTCTTCTCTCAGTGGATAACGCTCTAGCATATGGAGTGATGGGTACTAATTTCGAATCTTAATGAGAACAACATCACTCACTGAAGTTAAGGTTCATCCAGCTGACGAGTCCCAAGTAGGACGAAGCGCGCGTCCTGGATTCCATTAGTAGTCTCCAACACAAATATAAAACCAAATCCATTTGACAAACACATAATTATCATCACTTAATAATCTTTTATATTTATAACATTGATTTCCATGATATAATCATACTGTGATAACAGTCACGCGCATTGTGTGTACGAATGACTCTAAAGGCCACCCTCGGGACTATCAATGTAACCAATTCGGTTTCTTTATTTCTGCTGAGATAGTATATTCTTTCATAAATTACTTATTTAACTAGTTACTAGATTGTTCTCTGGAGTCATTCTGTGTGTATTACTGTTTGTTCACTTCGTCATCTAGGTGTCATACAGCTCTAGTACTTTGGTAACTGTTTTAAAAGCCTACAATTCAGTATGTCACATTAAGGATGTACCGGTGATAGACAAAGGGAAAGAATTTTAAGTGAATTTTAAAATGAGTCTACCAAATACACCTGTGGCAGTTGTGAGGCTTCCACTCTTGTTAAGATTAGAATAAAAGCAATGTTACTCCATATACTTTAAATGAAATAATTTCAGTGTCCCTATCTAACTTCAAAATTTGTTTTCAAAGCTATTTATGTAGTCGCTAAGGTAGACTTTTAAGATCTTCAAAGATTTAATACATTCACGTTATGTTCCATGTTACTACGAGACTGATTAGTTCTTAATTATATACACAGAAATCCTTTTAATACCATCCTGTTTATTTGTGTAATGTTAAATCAACTGAGAGTAGGATTTAAACGGTAGCATTTCATCTATAT